GGGAAAGGGAGGGGGGAGGGGACGTAAAAAGATACCCATTCTTCGTTTGCTTCTACGAGCGGAGTCTTTCTTTTGAGTAATTACGTTTATATCGATTGTTGGTCTTGGGCAAGCGGCGTTCGGTGATGGGTACAAAGATGTTATGATATAAGATTGGTGGTCATGGGAGACGGCAGATTACATATCTACCTACCTACTTATGCAGTAGGTAGGTATTTCTTTATAGACGAGTAGGGGGAAACCGAGGACGGTATAGTATATACGGGTTCTGGGAGATTTAGAGATTTTCAGGGCATGCAAATGTACATTGGAATATCAAACGTATAGAAAGAAAGAAAACAACGTATATGTCTTATCTACAAGAACCCTCCAGCCTTTGATCTAGCCGGGTCCATATGCAAGCAGGGGCGGATGCCAAGAAATTGACTTTTCGGATGCCTCCTATCCCTGGTCTTCTGGCACGTTAACTCGGTGTTCCCCCTATATGCCACTTCGAGTAGGTAGATACGTGAATAGGCACGTAGATTGCCCTATAACTTATGACCAAATGCCGCAGGCGTTGCCATCCTTCCTTGACATTTCTGCATTACTCGCCCACCCACTGAATCATGAGGCTGAGCAATCCAACCACCCCATACCTAGGTAGGCCTGGACCGGTTGACTGCTTGCTTCCTTTTCCTGTCTCTCTTTTCGCTTGATTTTGACATATCTACTTCACCTCCTTCAGCGCACCCTTCAGCCTCTTCTCGACCGCAGCCAGGTACTCCGAAGTGGTGACATAGGCAGCGCGGTCGGTCTTGCCGCAGGCGAGGGCGAGGTCCTTGGTCATGATGCCGTCGGCGTCAACGGTCTCGACACAGGCGCGCTCGAGGGCCTCGGCGAAGGCCACCAGCTCGGGCTGGTCGTCGAGCTTGCCGCGCTGGGCCAGACCCCTGGTCCAGGCGAAGATGCTCGCGATCGGGTTCGTGCTGGTCTCCCGCCCCTTCTGGTGCTCCCGGTAGTGCCGGGTCACCGTGCCGTGCGCCGCCTCCGACTCGAACGTCTTGCCGTCCGGCGTGATCAGCACCGACGTCATCAGGCCCAGCGACCCGAAGCCCTGCGCCACGATGTCCGACTGCACGTCACCGTCGTAGTCTTGTTTTGGGGTCAGCTTACATGATCTAAAGAATAAAGGTAGAGGAGGGATTGATTGAGGGAAACACTCACTCTTCAGCGCCATGATATAGCCGCCCGAGCTCTTGATCATCTGGGCGACCATGTCGTCGATGAGGCGGTGCTCGTACCAGATGCCCTTGGCCTCGAACTCCTTGCGGTACTGGGCCTCGTAGAGGTCCTGGAAGATGTCCTTGAAGCGGCCGTCGTACTTCTTGAGGATGGTGTTCTTGGTGCTCATGTACAGGGGCAACGCCTTGTCGAGCGCCAGCTTGAAGCTCGCATGCGCGAACCCCGTGATGCTCTCATCCGTGTTGTACTGCGTTTGCGCCACGCCGCCGCCCGGCCCCTTGAACTGGTACACCTCGATTTCTTGAGGCGCGCCGCCGTCGGGCGTGTACACCATCGAAAGTTTTCCGGGGCCCGGTAGCACCGCGTCCTTCGCCCGGTACTGGTCCCCGAACGCGTGCCGCCCGATGATGATCGGCTTCTTCCATCCCGGTACCAGACGCGGGATCCGCGGGATCACAATCGGCTCCCGGAATACGGTGCCGCCCAGGTGGTTTCGGATCGTGCCGTTAGGCGAGAGCCACACTGTGAAGAGGTGTAAAGACCTGGTCAGCTAGATATCCTGCGCGTTCATGTGGCGTGTAAAGCCCATGGAACGCAACGATGCTCTACGTCACTAGCTAGCTAGCTGAGCGCAATGGTAAAGGTCTTCGTCTTGGCTGCTCATATGTGGGGACGTACTCTGCTTCAGGTTGAATTCCTTGACGCGCCCCTCGTCGGGGGTGATAGTGGCGCACTTGATACCAACAGAGTACTTCTTGATGGCCTCGGCGGCGTCGAGGGTGACCTTGTCGTTGGTCTGGTCGCGGTACTCAAGGCCAAGGTCGTAGTACTTAATGTCGAGGTCCAGGTAGGGAAAGATGAACTTGTCCTTGATGTCCTTCCAGATGACGCGGGTCATCTCGTCGCCATCAAGCTCGACAACGGGACTCTTGACCTTAATCTTCTGCTGCTGCATCATGGTCCTGCTGTGGTGGAACAGGGCCACCGGTATCGCTATGCTACTCTTGCTCGGTGAAGCTGCTGTTCGCAAGACTGGCCGTGCCGATCTGGCGAAGGCAGATGGCCGGATGCATCGCATGGCGGGATTCATGGTGAAAGAGGCTATATAGATAGGTTGGCAAGAGTACAGGCGAGCGGACAACCGGGCGAACGGACGGGTATGATGAAGGTAGATTCCACTTGGGGCGTGGGAAAGGGCCACGGAAATAGTCTGTGTGAAGTGACCGAGGAAATGCGCTGGGAAGATCTGCGAAGATCTGGTCTGCTAGGAAGAATAAGCTACTGTCCGGATCGGCGGGGGGGTTCTCGGTGTATCCAAGGTCAGATGCCTCAAGCTACCAGCTAGTCTAATAATAATGCAAGCCAACAAGCTTCAAACACAGAAGAAACAAATCATCACTTGCGTGCCTGGTGGCTTGCAGGTTGCTAGGAGGTGTGAGTACGAACCCAAGAACTCACTTCGTGAAAATTGGAGGAAACAGAGGGAAAAAGTTGAGTAACACAACGTCGGTCGATCGATCTGTTGTGCTCGACAGCCACTACTTAGTGACCTTTTGTAGGTGCGTTTTGTAGGTACCTGGTACGTAGTAGCTATAGCTTCTGCCCCTCACTGGTTCCGGGGGTTATATAAGGAGCTTTATACAAGCAGTACCGTATTGATGTACACCGGGAAGCGTCACGGGGCATGCGACTGGACGAACCTGTCAATTGAGGTCGGGTTTTGAGTGTAAGGTAGCAGATGTAACATGGACATGCAACATAAACACGCAACATAAACATGCAGCTCACTCTCAACCTGCAATCCTCTCACCAGACTCTCTTTACCTTCTTATGCTACTTACGAGGTTGCACGAAGCTCCGAACTCTCGAGACGAATGAAAAAAAGAGCGGGGTCCACCAGGGTCCAACCATCGTCAGTCTCCACATTCTGCCGATGTGCGGAGGGTAGGAACAAGCCTTGAAAAGGCTCAAACCCTTGCACCATGCACCATGCACCAGCAACCATGCAGCCACGACCCATGACAGCCCGGCTGGATCGGGTAATGCGCGGCTCAATTGGTGGCGGCTGGGCGGCTTTTCTATCTGCTATAGCGGCTGCTATAGCGGCTACGACCTACCTAGGTGCCCAGCTATAGTGGTGCAATGCAATGCGACACTGCTTGGTGTGGGGTAATCGCGTTCATTGGCGGGTGACATCCATGATGCCTCGCTCTTAGGTACACTGCGATACGGCAACACGTTGGGAAATAGCAATGGCACTAGGTATTGGAGGTATTCCTTCCCTCCAACATTGAAAGTTTCGACAATTAAATACTGACTTCTACTTATGACTCGAGGAAACAACATTTTATAATGTTGTGGCCACCCTTGAAGTAGTGGATGATACTGAGGTAGGTAGAGTTCCCCTTATAACCCCTATTATGTCAACCCCTGACAACTTGCTTGTTTGCCAACATACCATGTATAATTTCTAGATTCTCTCCGTCCTCAGGTGTATAATTGCAATACGACTAAGTTTCAACACAGCTGGCAGCAAAATGTATTCGTATTATAATGAAGTGTCCCGTCTATAAAACCAAGTAGACGGGCAGAATGCCAGGCCTGCTAGCATCAAACCGCATGGACAAGGTTAACCATTGCAGGCTCGGGACCTTATAAAGCAGGCCTACACTCTACCATCTGAGAGTCCGCCGTGCCTCAATGCGTCTATTCCACCAGACTGCCAATGCGCATGCGCTCATCCCGGACCCGGCATGCATCGCATCTGGAAACGGTTCGACGCATCTTTCTATGATGTATCAAGCGGGTCCGCAGACCTTGCGGGCAAATACCCACGCCTAAATCCAAAGACAAGGAGTCCGCACATCGGGTGGTTTGGTTCCATTTCTTGGTGCCCTCGATGTAGTGCGAGCGATGGAGGCAATATACCATACTGTACGGTCGTACGCACATCTCGAAGGGCGGCAACGATACTGTGCTTAAGCAGGCAGGTGTCTTTTGCGGGCAAAGTTGATCCAATATCGGTCGTTTTTGCGTGGGCTGGTGTTAGCTAGCAAGAGACGGGATTCGGGACGACCTTGGCAATGGAGTGTGCCTGAATGATGCCGACTAGGATGGAATATAAATACCGGGAGACGTGGATATCAAAGGCATTCCAAGTGTGACTCAGGTTGGTTGCAAGACGTGACGGGTTATCTGACCGGAGAGCGAGTAGAAGACATTCCCAATTCCTATCTACGAAGGCCATTACCTCGACCCCTTTGTACCCGGATCTTGGATATGGCATGCGACCGGTGAAACATCTCTCTGTTTGATCTAAGGTGAGGACCGCGAATAGCCTCATATCAGGTAAGTAGGTTGTACGAGCATTCACAACCCCTCACCGGAACGCCCCAAGCTATACTCCTATTATTTCCTATTGCTACTCGTGGAGAGGGAATCAGTTGCAACGACGAGATGAACGACACAATGAACGACGCATATAGTCCATAAGTGAAGTATTCGCCGTCCAGGAATTTACCTAACCTATGTTTTGAGTCAAGGTCCGTTTGATCATACCGAGCAAGCATACTGAAAGAGTTGCTCTCTAGCCGACGAGTAAAGAGTCTTCTTATACAAGCAAAGCCTATTAGTTAACTATTAGCCACGGCTCTGTACGTACAAGCACCGGCACAAAAAGCCAAGACCTTCACGTCCTACATATTTGAAGAACCCCAAAAAGGTATTCGCGATTTGAATGGGACAATTACAGATTGTACCGCAAACAAAAAAGAAGACGACACCTGTGTGATTCGAACACACGCCCCCGAAGGGAATGCCTTCCTACTAAAACTAGCAGGGCATCGCGTTAACCACTCCGCCAAAGTGCCTTGATATAATAGTTTCATATTAGTATTGTTATGCTAATGCTATGCTGCCGCCAATCAGGCCCGAACTATTCCCGCTTCTATTAGTGCATGGACGAGCTCCCCGCTTTACTTATAAGCTTGTTTAATCGGGCCTGAACGGTCAACTACCCGTATTATACAATCATTACAAGATCTCACTTGCAGTGCCCTACCCGTGTTTCTTCTCCTTCTTACCTTGGACTGTAATCTGAAATGCCTATACGCGAAAGTATATGCATAGGCTGTTCTTGATATGTTTAGGAGATGATTATTGGAAGTTCCAATTCTCACCCTGAGTGCCTCGTTGGCTACGTTACTTGACACACTGCCACACTCAGTACCGTTGGGTGCATCTCATGATCCCATGACACGTAGGTACATGAGCCTTAGGCGGGTTACACTGCAGACGTGATGCTTGCTGCACCCTACCAGTTGGCCATAGTTACAAGTGATGGCTTCTTTTAGCAGCTTTGCACCCTACCCTACATGTGAGCCTACGTACTATGGTCTTTCTACTCAACATGTCTGAGTAGTAATCCTATCTCCCATCTTCAACCTCATCTATCACCACACATACTCAAGCACCCTCCTGAGTATCTGCCTTTTCTATTATACTGAGGGCAACGATCATCAAACCAGCCAGAAACCTGGTCGTCCTTCAGCCGCAGGGTATCCGTTTCCCGAGCCCCGTCGATTATTCGCGGACCAACATGAGCAGCAACTTTGCTTCACCATGGGAGCTAGAGACCTACGGAGCTATTGAGCATCCTGTCTACGCCCTCGAAGAGCGCATGGATGAGTTCCATTCAACGGCGACCCGGCATGGCGGCCTATCTCAAACACTAGCACCGCCAGCCACCTTTGAAAACGACGAGCCTGGCCTTCCGCTTCTTAGCGGGGTCCCTTGGAATCCGTGAGATTTTTTTTTTAGTCTTACTAACTTGTAGGGTGCAATGGCCATGTCCTCTAGGTGCACTGCATATGTACATTCAGATGATTGGAGGTAAGCAATCTCCACCTTACCCCAGCCAATTGGAGCAAGCTGTTGATGCTACGGTCCAGCCCATCAACATCCCATGGGGATGTACTTGTTCCCGTACCCCATACATGAGGAGCCGTTGGCAAATAGGGTCGACAATGAACCTGAGGACCATTCTGCCCAACTTGGCGGCATAGAGCCCGTCTCATCACCACGGCGTTTCACATGTGATGAGTTGGGCTGTCTGATGAAGTTTGACTCGGAATACGAACGTGACAGGCACCGGCAACTCCAACATACCGTAAAACATTCCGTTGTTAGTCATTCGCCTTTCACCTGCAAGTGCAGTCAAGAGTTTGCAACATTGCATACTCTCGAACGACATATCAAGGTTTTCCAGGACCAGACCTCTGACTTTCGCTGCGAAGACTGCAAGAAGGACTTCAAGAGAAAGGACCACTTGAAGCAGCACCTACGGCATGCCCACAAGCTGGAAGACGCTGAGTTGGATATCAATTTCCCTCCACGTAAGAGCGTGAAGAACACTATACCCATTTGTCACTTCAAGAGATGCGAGTACTACCGAGATGAGACGTTCAAGACTCAGCCCCTCATTGACCAGGAAAAGGATGCACCTTTCGCCAAGCAATCCGACTACACGAAACACATGAGACAGGTACACGAGTGGACGCCACACCCTTGCACAGTCCCGCTATGCAAGAACGGAGGATTCTTCAGTGAGGCGGCCTTACAGAAACACCGGCAGCAAAAGCACCAAGACGCGGAGCCTCTTGTCATTGCGCCGCGAGAAGCAAGGAGGATCGCATGTGGAGGATGTACCAGGTTGCTCCATCCCTCTTCACTCTCTTACCATCGTGGGTTCTGTGTCGCCTGGAGAGCAGCCCGACGTAGGCAGTGAGCCTCACTACGGATAGGTCCTTCGTGGCCATCTCGTTGGCATGGCAAATATCGCAAACTAGGTTCGCTTCAACTGCGGACTATCGTTCTCGAGCGACATTCTGTGCGCAACTAAAATTAGGTCGGGGGGTCATTCAACATGCCAACCTGCCAGGAAATCCAGTGAGGTAGAATGGGACACATATGACGCTTTTCATTTATTCCTTTCCTTGCTGCGTAGGATTTGATGCTATTTCGGGGTTCGCACGTATCAACTACGGTGGTGCTAGTTGGGTCTTGATGATATGTTAGCTTTCACGTCTTGCAAGTTCCTGCTACTGGGTATGAAGGATTGGAATCAACGCTCGTTTCATGTACTTTCTTAACTATTCTGAATTTGGATGATGATCCTTCCAATATAACACTCATTTTCTATTCTGCATGGCCTAGTGCTGGTTCCTGCTCCGCGTAGACTGATATGAACAACAACGGTGTTTCTGTGGTACGCAGAGCTTATATGTCGCTAATGCTCTGGAGGCAATATTGCCAATTTAACTCATAATGTATGCCCCGCTAAGACGTCTTGCTGTTGTTGTTTGACTTGAATTCCTTGGCTATACGCAAGCTTCCCGGAACGTGGAAAAGGCATTAATCGCCCATAGTCACGTATGAACTACGCTTGTCTCTTACTCTTATATGCACCAATCCCCAAATCTCTATCACAGCCACATTGTCATGGATCGAGAGATAACTTCTTTATGATGACCTCGTGTGCTTGGTCGATGCTATCCAGAAAATCGATCCCGAACTTGTGACAAACTATCTGCACATTGCCCCTCTTCGGATACCCCTCCGGGGCCACGGCGACGACCTTGCCCGGAACCTGCGCAGAGAGCCCGAATTCGAGCAGGCTTATCGGAGCGACCGTGGCGGGGTGGAAGTACACCACGACCAGGTCGGCTTTCACTTGCTTGTCGAGCTCCCACAGGACCTGCTCGCGGTAGGGGTCGAAGGTGATATCCTCGCGCCAGGTGTTGTCCCAATCTGGGCGGCTTGGGTTGAAGATGGTTATCGGATGCGCGCGGAGCAAGGCGGATAGCTTGGCACGCCAGTCGACATTGCCGACGGCGGTGGTTGTGCCTGCGAGGAAGACCGACTTGATGCCGCGGGCCGGCTCCTCCGATGGTGCGTGTATGACCTGGCTCTTCTGGATGGGATCCATTCAGGCAAGAGTATAGGGACGGAGTGGTGAATACGGTGAAATATGAGTCCGAGATATCCTGGACCACACCCCTGGCACGGAGCGCTACACTATCTGACGACGAAGGAACGTCTATTGAGGGTGTCCAATCGAGAAAGAAGAAGAAAAAAGAAAAAAGCAATGTTGGGAATCAGGCTGTGAAGGCGGTTCGTGTCTTAGCCTTTCAACGGCTGTCATAAGCTTACTGCAGGGCTCCAATTTTGTGCGATTTACAGAAAGGTTTTGCCCCCTATCCCAGTGATCGGGGCGCGGGGCAGTTATACATACTTACGAGGCGGACAGGGGCGGGCGGGGTGTCGCTGAGGGCCACCAGATAAGAAGCGACATAGTATTGCTGGGGCGCTCACTGCAGCCTGTAGTATGCACACCCCGAGAGTTTCAACTCACGTTCCTAGGCACATGTTTCACAAATGGTCATCCAAATATGAATACCTACCTACCTACCTACCTAACTCAGGGGAATCCCTATGCACCCCGCCAATGGTCACGGGCACCTCGAACCTGATCGCGAAAGTGACTTCGTACCGACCGCAGAGCGGCACGAAGCCAATGCAACAGAAGAGCGAAAGCGATGTGCCGACGCCGTTTTCGCCCCGTTCGGCCAGCTGCCGGAAGGTGCTCCGGTTCCGCATGTACGAGCTGGCGTTCCCGCGCCGCGTGCTCCGCTTCTAGCCCAAAGTGGCTGCCGGGCAAGCACCAGGCGCTGCTGCTGGAGTGATACAAAAAGAACGAGCCTCCCAGACCATCTGAAGCGCAAAATACCATTGACTGGACTAGCTCTTCATATAAGTCATAGAGATGATAACAAAGTCGACGAGACGACACAGATACACGCTCCGCACTGTCATTACTAGAAAAATGCTACTGGATGTTTCCGGAATCACTAGACACATGGACATACCTATCCACACTTTGACATCTATATACACAACCACGACCTCTTTCCCACTAGCAGGGAAAGAAACGGTATACACGACCGCCCTACGTACGGATGCCGTCGCACCCTTCCTTCTCTTCACCCCAATAATCTTTCATGGTCCATTATCATCATCATCGGCATCCAACATCCAATCTCGACACAATCATTCTTTCTTCTTTCTTTCTTCCCTCTTCTTCTTCTCTTCCCCGCCCTATCACTTAAACTGATCCTCCGTGACGCCCTGCCCCATGGCGGCCGTGCTGCTGACGCCGCCGGTGACGAGCTTCTGCAGCTCGTCGACGTAGGCGGCGCCGCTCCACTTCTGGTGGCGGACGACGTCGACGCCCAGCGCCATCTCGGGCTCCTGGACCAGCTCGCCGTAGGCGCGCATGCCCTCGCGCGCGTAGGCCCGCGCGAACGCGTCGCTGGCCAGCGCCGTCGTGTGCAGCCCCGCCAGCGTGATGAACTGCCAGCAGTACCCCAGCCCCGCCAGCCGCCGGATGTACGTCTCCTGCTCGTCGCGCGCCATGGCCGTCTTCCAGTTGAACGAGGGGGAGAGGTTGTAGGCCAGCCTTGTTTCGTTTCGTTTAGTGTTGGTGTTTTTTGGTCGACGAAAGTGAATGAGTAGTGAAGTAGCGTGGGTGGGTGGGTAGGTGGGTGGATGGGGATGAAGAAGATCCCGGTTGGGGGAAAGGAGAAAGGGAGGGGAACGGAGAAAGGGAGGGGAAGAGGGGGTAGGAGGTAGGGCTGAGGAAGAAAAAGAAGAAAAAAGAGAAAAGAACTCACTTCTGTTCAGGCCACACGGCATGCACGCCCTTAGCGAACTCCTCCGCCTGCTTGAAGTCCGGCAGCTTGCTCTCCATCCAGATGGCGTCGCAGTACGGCGCGTACGCGACGGCGCGGCTGATGGCGCAGTCGCAGCCGCC